TCTTCAGATGCGCCCCCTTTTAAAGGTCTTGTTTTTCTCCAGCTTTGCTACCGAGCTTCCGGATGCAGACTTCAGAAAGGCCAAACCAAAGCACATTCTTCAGCCCCCCCCCGCAACTGAGATTTCATTTGGAACTGAGCCTTTCCTAAGCTCCCCGTTATGCCGGGATTCATTGTTGCGTGTTCTAGCAAAGAGCTTCAGCATCTGTACTTGGGACAGAAACCATTGTCTGGCTTCGGGAAGTTTGCTCCAGCTTATGGGTTTGTTTTTGCGCTGTTGTAGTTGCCTTCTGGCATGCAGACACTTCAACCAACACACACACACACACACATTTTCCCATGCCATACCACCTGCAGCACCGCGGCAGGCAGCCCAAAATCAACGCTGGTCAACCCCCGTGTACTTAGCTTCTTTAAGGCAAGGACATGCCTTGGGAGGAGGGGCTCATTAAACAGAAGTCGTCCTTAGGGAAATTCTGCGTGCGTTGTCTGTCTGCTATAGGCAACACTGCAGCGCCGCGCCTTCCATCACTCCGCCTTTCTCTCCCCAAAGGGCCCCCAAAATGGCAAGACAAAAATAAGCCGGGGCAAACCGCAGCTTGGCAACTGCTTCCATTTTCCAGGGCCATTTTGGGGGTCAATGGAACGATAGTTGGGGAGGGGGTTTCCCTCATGGCAAGCGAATGGAAAGCGAGCGCCGGGGGATGTCCCGGACACGTCCGAGGCCTTTTGCCGAGGCCTTGGAGGAGGCCTTGACGGGCGGAGGCGGCGGTCGCCTCGTGCAGGACCGGGCCTCGGACTTCGGACCGGGCCTCGCAAATTTGGGCGGACCATGTTTTTGGTGTTAAACAAAAAGCGCGAGGACTTTGTTTGTTGGCCAATCTACTCAGGAAGTGAGCAAACAATGGATCACGGGGCATGGTGTGATCTGGAATGTTGTGCTGTGTGATGGTACTGTTGAGGGCATTTTGGGGCAGCTTAACGGAACACACCCCGCAAGACAAAAAGCACACGAAAGAAAAAGAACATTCTTGGGCTACGTGGGCCCAAAAGTACCCCGGAGGTCGAAATCAAGAAACCATCTCAATGCTCACTTTGGGCCTAAGGGGGAACATCATGGAGCCCAAGAAAACATTTGTTGTAGAGGAATCTCCATTTGGGCATCCCCGTTCATGGGTCTATTAATTTGCAGGGGGCCCAGAAATTGATGAAGGTGGTGACAGTCGCAGCCAAAAACAGCCGCGGCGGCTGCGGCCTTTGTACTCTCTTGTTGTTGTTGTTGTTTTTTGTTGTTGATGTTTTTTCATTTTTTTTGGTTTTGGGCATTGTACTACTGGGCTTTGTTGGTGACTCACGTGGAAGTCCCGGAGCCCGTTCTTCCAAGGGGCTCGTTTTGATCAGGAGAGCGCCGGCCTGGACCGGCGCCGCGCCTTTGGACAGCGAAGACCCCGGAGCCGCGATGGGAGTCTTCAGGGGGACGTACGGGGAGACCCAACCATTTGTTTTTGTGCGTTGTGTTGTGTGAGTTTTGAGGGGGGGGGGCTACAAAAGACACCCATATGGCCCATATATATATATATATATGTGTGTGTGTGTGTTACATATGTCTATAGGAATATGTGCATTCATTCAGTTGTTTACTTCTTGTATGTGTATGTGTGTGTCCCTTTTTGAGGGTACCAGTCACCCTTTTATTTGTTTGAGAGCCAATGTGGGGGTCCGAATCCTACAAAATGACACCCAAATGGCTTTCGGATGTTCCGACCCACCCTCACGATTCACCTTTCTTTAGTTTTTCTCTAATGGCTATGATTGATAGAAACTATGCTTGGCTATTTGAAAGGGAAGATGGCAACCCCGAAGTGTGTATTTCAGTTGTTGTTTCCTTTGAGGACGAGGGATTCTCCATGGGAGAGGTTTGAAAACACAGGAGTTGCCTTAGAGCAAAAGGCCGCGGGATCTGCAATGACGAGCTCGGGGAATCCCTACTAGGTCCTTTGCCAGACTACTTGTTTAGCAAATTCTGATTTGCAGTTTGTGCAAACACGACATCCAGGCCCTGGAAAAACACGAGAGACTTCCTTGGAACCCCCCCCCCCTCCCCAATTGTTCGGCCGCCGCCCTGAACATCGAAGTTGCTCAGCGTCCATGTGTGGCAGCCGATGTTTGCGCAAGCGCAGGGAAACATGAGACTAGTAGTTGATGTTGCCATTCTAGTGACATAACCTTACTCTAGATTTCGGTGTGGATGCGGAGGATGGATTGGAGGTTCTCCGCAGCATATCCAGGGACTTCTCCAAGAGGGTTGGCTTCATGTCGCACAGGGTCCCGGGTTTAACACAGGATGCCAATAGAACAAAATCACACCGAAGCCAGATTGGACAGGTCAAGCCTGACTGCCGGATGTCCTGCACTTCAATTTTTGGGGGCAGGACCATTTGAGTGGTAAACACAAAGTTTGGTTATGCATTTTCTGTCCCATGTGCTCGATCGGTGAGTTT